AAAATTGCTAGGAAACTGATGGACACTCTGGGAAACTGAGGGGAACTGCAAGAAAACCGAAGAAAAGTGCAATCAAACAAAAGGAAAATAGAGATTTTGAAGGGAAACTAAGGAAAGCCGAAGGATAGTAGGAGAAATCGATGGAAAACTACTGTATGCAGCTAAAAGCTTGATAAAACAAGAACAATTACGCAACAATTTAAGCAAAACAATTTAAACGGCATGATGCTTCCCCTTGCTCACGTAATTACTAACCGGAAATATCTGCTCTGTCCTGAACCACACATTTCTGTCTTGATCGGCGGTCTGCGACTTCCTTTACCACTCGCTATTCCTCTCATTTCGAAGACCAACAGTAAGATTAGATCGGCAACACCAAAACTAATTTCTTATCGGATTTCGAAAGAAAAAGCCGTATCTACGATTAAATAATCGGAGCTACTTTTTACACAAATGCTTGTCCACCAGGATTTCGCCTTGAACCTTGATCCTTTCGCACCGGACGTTATTGCTATGGATACCCCAATAGAATTTACCAGTTTCCCTTCGTTTCTCAAAAGTTTCCCCTGCACACAACACACACAATGTGCTCACTACTCTCGTGTGTTAGGACACAGATAGGTGTATCTATCGGCCCGCTAATAATATGTGTGTGTCTGTCTGTCCACTACTAATTTGCCATTTTCTGATTCCCCATAGTCGACTTATTCCACAAGGTAACGCTCGTCTGCACTCGCTCGGTCCATTGACTTTAGGAACTTATATCTACGGAACGCCCTTCCATGACTTTGAATCCAAAAGAACGTTCACACCTCCCTACGGTCGGTGTTCGCTAGGGGACTATCTAAAATATGTTATAATTTTTTCTTTGATTTCAGGTGTAAGCTTCGTAATCTAATATAAATCTTAAAAATTTTCTCTAGACTCTCCAAAGATCCTCAGAGGTCTAACAGTATTTTTAAATTCAGGACAATGCTCACGCCTCCCTTCGGTCGGCGTTCGCACCCAGGGTAGTTGAGAAATGTTGTAAACTTCTCTCATTCCACGGAAAAATCGCACAATGTAACATAAAAGCTTAAACGTTTTCTCGACACCCTCTGAAAATCCCAAGGGGCTGGAAGCATTCCTGATCGATTCATCATGTTAGACTATCTATAATCTGTAAGATTTATTATTCGTAGATGACTTTTTGTGTTATCAAAACTGACTGATTTCTGGCGACATCTATCTCCGAACTGCAGAAAAACAAAAAGATATCTGCGAGCCATTTTTCTATATTTTGCGCACAGACACACACACAGGCACACAGACAACCATCTTGTAAGACCCAACACTAAAGTCAAGGGAAGGTAGAGGTCGCTAATACTCATTTTCTGATTCCCCATAGTGAACTACCTACTCCATATCATTTTCATCCATTAATGCGGAAATTATGTTTTCGACCAACAGGAATCACCATAGAGGTCGCTCATACTCATTTTCTGATTCCCCATAGTCAACTATCTACTTCATATCATTTTCATCCATTAAAGTGGAAACGATGTTTTCGACCAATAGGAATCACCCTAGAGGTCGCTCATACTCATTTTCTGATTCCCCGTAGTCGACTACCTACTCCATATCATTATCAGCCAATCAACTTTTGCTGTACTAGTTTGTCTGTCGCTAGTATCTAGTCTGCGGACATACAAACATACATACAAACATACATACAGGCATTTTAACTCGATAAGACCCTTTCCTTTACAGTCAAGGGAATATTACATCGTTTCTTTTTCTATTTGCACAAACATTTTTCTTATTCTTAGGCAAGCAGCAGCGCGTTATCACCGTCAAATTAGTCTTCACTGTAATAGCTGATATGTCTTCTCTTGCACTAACTTCTGCATTTGATTTGTTAACATTGATGACAAAATTTGTTGTTTTCTCGTCTCGTTCTTATTGATGTTTTTCCCTTTGTCGTTTAGTAAGAACAATAAGACTTTGAATCTCTTTAATAGTGTTACGATTTGTTTTAATGTTTAATTCAAGTATATTAATTGCTTTTTGAAAGTAATTAACAGCATCTTGCCAGTTTCTCATATTGTAATAAATTCTACCTATATTTTCTAACGATAAAACAATCTCTGGATGTTGTGCATGTAGAAGCTTTTCTTGTTTATCCAACACTTTTAATTGATAGTTTAATGCATCACCAAACATGTCATCTTTCCAGTATAAACGACTGATGTCAATTAAACAATAAATGATTATCAAATGAGTTGGATTTAATGATTGTTCAAAAATAGCCAAGGCTCGTTGACAATAACCAATCGATTTGGTAATATTTTGCGTAACATCACCCATATTTTTTAGAATATGACCCACAAATAGATTATTTTGTTGCTCGATTAACTTTTTTTGACAAAATTCTAGAGCATTGTTATCTTCACCTTTTTTCCGATACATATCAATAATTCGATTGAAATCATCAACTAAATTCGGATGAGTACAAGGTAAAATGTTTTCATCTATTTCAAATGCACGATAATAATAAATGAGAGCTTGATCATAATCTAAAAGATCTTCGTAAACTAAACCAATATTACCCAAACATGATGCAATCTCAGGATGTTCTTGTGGTAACAGACGTTTATACATGTCTAGTGCTTGAGTGAAATATTCTAATGCAGTTTTATACTCTTTTTTATCTCGATAAACTAAACCAATCTCATTGATTACCATTGCTTTCATCTGACGCTCATCATGATAATTTTTATCAAAAATATTTAGAGCTTCCTGAAGACAATACAGAGCTTTTTGATAATGTCCTTTTAGATGAAAAATACCACCAATAGTAAATAAATATAGTGCAATTTGAGGATGCTCAGGATTTAGACTTTGTCGACGTAACATATACGCCCGTGCAAAATAGTTGAAAGCTAAGTTCACTTGATGTTTTGCATAGAAAACATTGCCCAAATTATTGTAGACCGCTGCAAGATCATCATGCTCTGCAGGCAAAGTTTTCAAAAGCATTCGAAAATATTTCTCAGCTTTATCCATTTCACCTAATTCCAACAATAACAAACGTCCAAATAAAACCGTTGGACTATAATCATCCGTTTGTTTTCGTTTTGCATTTATATAATCCTGAATATTGACTGATCCATCGTCTGTTGCTGTCATTTGAATTTTCCAGCAATACAATTCTGAATCAAATCTAACATTATCAATTTTGAAAACAGTTCCTAAACTAAACAAAACCTCGTTTTCACCTTTCATTTGACTGTAATCTTCAATATCAGCAAATACAACTGTTTGAAGACGACAATCAACTTTAATTTCGAATAAAACTGTTTTGTGTTCTTCTGAATGTGACTGAATAAATCCTAAAGCTACTTGAATATCTCTTGTTGTTGAGAAAAATCCATTTGTTGAAATAAGACAGCCAGCACTAGCGTTTAATTTATCAAATTCTTCATTCGACATTCTTTGTCCACGATACAATGTTAATATTTCTGTTTTTTCATTATACAACCGCTTCCATTCATCCTCTAATTGTGAACATAAATCAATAATATAGAA